AATACTGTTAAACGAACTTTGAACTTAGTCTAGGTTCGTAGTTTTCATCACATACGTAGTGTAAATATTTACATATCATTTTCATTTAAATTCATGAAATGTTACTACATATCGACTGTATAAAGAAACACGAAGAGTATCGTTACTTTTTATGTTACTTCAATCATAAATTGATACTTTTAAACTACTTTTCTATTAATATTTTATAGTATTTTTTTTTTAATCTTTATAATATTATCCGTGGTGCTGCGTTCATTTACATATGCATATGCGTATATGGTACATGGTTTGGTAACGTCCTTATCGACTATAAAAAGAATCATCAAAATACGTTCAGAAACGGCAAATACATAATATTAATGTTCTCATAGTGTCAGAATTACTAAAGGACTAACACAAGCAAAAATTGATCATGCAAAATAAAAAGAAACAGTGAAATAGTTTTAAGAAAGTGAATTGAAGTAAGTAATATTTTATACAAACTAATAAATGTATATTTTACCGTTTCATAATAAATAAATACAATTATTTGCATATTGATAATTTAGCGATCCAAACTACCACTAATAGTTTAATTACATTATAGGTAATAAAATATCAGGCGTGGGTACTCGCTCAAAGGCATATACATTCAAAAAGCCATTTGATTATAATGAACATGCCATATCCAAATTATTGAGTTCGCCAAACGCATAAATATTCATTGCGGATACGAAACGTTTTATATATAACAATCTATAGCCGTCGTGTATTGGTAAAATCCACTGTACAAGCGACAAATGATTTATTATTTTTTCCACAAAAAAAACTGATTTCAATCTTGACTAATTTAGCTAGAAACGAGCGCGGGATTTTGTTAAAAATTCTAATTACAAGAGTGTAGTCACAATTTACTAGCTACTACTACTCGCTACATATATTATATATATATAAAACTTCCTCAGGAATCACTCTATTTATTTAAAAAACCGCTTCAAAATCCGTTGCGTAGTTTTAAAAATTTAAGCATACATAGGGACAGACAGCTACAGCGACTTTGTTTTATACTATGTAATGATTGTTTTTAATGGAGAACCGTTATGTAATGATTGTTTTAATGGTATACCGTTAGTGCAGACGGGTGCACCATTCCTCCCGTCTGCACTAACGGTATACCGTGCTGGGACTCCAGTGAAAAATTAAAAGCATGAAATCAGGTCTATTGGCGCAACGACTTTTTTTTTATGGATGATAATGGGATGGTGCATCCGCTTGCGCCAACGGTTTACGCTGGCGGGGCACCAGTGAAGGATGATAAGATGAACATGAGGTCAGGTCAGTTAGCCCATCGTGACAAATTCACTAGAAATTTAACACGATGGTTTCCAGGGCGAACCGCGTGGAGGTCAACCTGACATAGTACATTGCTAGCAATGGGGTTATTAGTGTATACTACTAACAATCCACTTCCCCCCGGCGCAACGACTTTGGTGAATTAACTATGATGGTTTTGAGAGATGGATGCGGCCACTCTTCCTTATTACTAATAATCCCTTCTTATGAATTAGGAGTAGTTAGCATAAGTCTATTCAAATAAAGTTATAATAATTCCGCTACCATTGAAAATAAACAAGATTTATTCATCAAGGAACTTCATAGCTAAGTTATATTTTTTATGTATAGTATCCAATATATAGTAAAAATTTCTTTTATAGTATACTACTTTTTTTATAGTATACTAGATAAGTTAATCTAAAAATTTTCGAAGTAGCGTGATCTATCTTAAACTGGGTATGTATTCAAACTGAATGGATTAGTTTACACCAATTACGATTAAACTTAGGAACTTAAGGGTTAAGATTGGAAAGACAGATACTTGCAGGTTTAGATATGGTTTAGGTAAGATAGATAAGAGAAATGTCAATTTAAGTGATGTGGAACATTTGCTCCTAAAGATACCAGCATCTGCAACTTCAATGACGATACTTTGAATTATCAAAATGCATTGCCCATATCTATAGTACGTACTTACTCATGTGAAGTTTTATCACAATTAGCTGAGCTGTTAAAGAACCTAAACCTAAAAATGCAACAAATGCAACAAATACATAAAAGAGCAACTAAAATTAAGTTAGTACTGAATCTATAAGACGTAAGTTACAGAATTTATTTAAACTACTACTTTATCATTTACTAATTTTAATAATGCAAATAGTGTGTTGACATACGCTCGAGATGAAGAAATAAGAATACAGATTATCACTAATTGTTTCCGTCTCCAATATATCATACGCTACTTATACCTCCTGCCTTGACTGTTTTTTTATGTTGACAAATGAAGATACTCCGTTATTCCATCTTTAGAACTCAGATGGTTCCACAAGATATTCCATTTTTTAAATTCAGTTGAAGAAGGAAATTCCCTGAACTTTAGATTTCTTACCTATACAAATCCCTTCCAAACGTTTATCCTCTTAAATATCTCCCCATAACCACAAAAAAACATTAATTTGCGGGGAAAATAAATACCCAAAATGGCATCACTTCCAGCATACTTAATAAAAAAATAACAACAATAAGTTGACATAATGACATTGGTAGCTCGTATTCTAAGAATATGCAAAAATTTAATAGCAAATTAACTTCTGAACATCTTAAGGGATATGAAAAAATCTATACATATATAGACAGAATGCTACAAAAAATGACCCAAAGGTCGAGTTGACTTTTAGTATAACCTTGTTTGTTCTTTACGAAAATTATACAAGAAGATAGAAATAATAATAGTAATTACAGTTAATACAGTAGGTATACACCGTACTTTGCATATTTGAGTTATTATACCATTATGACTATAATTTGAGAATTAAGTTTAATATTACACGTATATTGAACAATATGTTGTTGTTTTAGAACATAAAGCAGTTTTTGATGTAATTTATTTAAACTTTAAAGTAAACTTATACTATAAAGAATATATACCTATATTACAAAAAAGGGCTGCCAATTTTGTAAAAGCAAAATCGATTTAAGAAATTCTTTCACTGTTTAAAAAGCATAGTTTTCCAGAGTAATATATGCCACCTGTAAGATGTTAACATATCCAGACTCTAGTTCTAGACAAATCTCGTAATGTTTAAAAAAACTATTATTACATAAAAAAATTGCATATAAATAAAAGGACATAAAGAATGTCAAATAGTAATGAATGTGAACAGAGGGACAAACTACAAGTCGTTGACATATGACAGCGTCATAATAATTCATTTTTGACTCGGAGCAATAGAATGATGTAAGTTAACGATGACAGATTTTTCTTGGAATAACAACGAGACGACGATTCTCGCGTCGTTAGTTGTAACACAGAATATATATTTTTCTCATCTTGTATATTACTTGAATATTTTACCACAAACAAGATTGCAAATAATGAATGGCTAGTTAATTTTTTAAAATAAAATATTGCCAATTTTACTCAGTTATAATGTAACTTTCTTTAAATAAAAGAATTTATTAACTTTTCTATATACTTTCACAAATTACACTTACCAACACAAAATATTATGTGTACCTGTCTATACTTAGGTACGTTATATTTTTTAGTAAGCCTTTATAAATAAATAATATGTGAAATAAATATATTAAACCATAATAAATACAACAACCATTGCATACATTAAAATAAACAAACAATGTAAGAATAATGTAGACACATGGTACAGTATATCCAACAACAACTGCAACAGTTGAGATCCGAAACAGTTTTTCAATCTCGGTACAAATGGGTAACATTTACAAAACTTCAGCTTAAAGGGGTAACACAACGGTCGCGCACAGGTGCTGTTTTATTGAAAAAAAGATACAAATTACCCTTTCCGCTGCGATTTGATGGCGGATTGATGGCAGTTAGCGGAATAAGTTAAGGAAACGTTTCGCAAATTCACCAATACGTTTTCACTGTCTTAGGAAAACAATATTAAATTGTGTTTTAGATTGTTCTATATTATATTTATTTATCTACAAAACATATATTAAGAATCATTTACCAAGACACAGATATGCCCTTATGAGAGAAAACTTCATGTCATTAATTGTTTGCATATAGTATAATATATATATGTAATTTAACTATTTGATAAATTATCTCGAAAGACGAATTCTGTCTAATAGTATAAATTTTATTATATATAAGCACCACGTAATATAACATCATAACTGTAATGGGTGAGGGAATTACAAACATGCGAAACCAAATAGCAAACATAACAAACAATTATGTAAATTCCCAGCACAATATAAACAAATATAGCCACCGCCCCAAAAAATCTCTTATCTATATTAAAAACAAAAAAATAATATGGATGTAGGAATGCTTAACAGATTAACTACTATCCTTATAATTTTTACCAATACCTTAAAAGTTTATGTGTATAATCCGATTTCCTTCGGTCAAGAATAGAAATTCAAACTCGAGTCCTGAATTAACGTGCTATTAATACTACAACGTCGTGATCAAAGAGATTGAAGGCCTGCAAAGGTGGGTGCACACGAGATGAATACCGAATTGGGTACAGCTATATGTGATACATTGTGCTCGATAACGTAGTTAGGGACATACTTATCAACAGGTTTATTCAGTTCTTGCTTTAAAAAGGAGCTTAAATTTGTTCTACTATCTAAGTCTATTTGTGTACATATGGTTTACTAAAAAAAGCATACTATACATTGAATAATGATACAAGACTCCTAGTATTAGTGAGTAGCATACTAGCTTAAAACAAATTAAAAATGGAATAATGTATATCTGATCTAATTTATACATAATATCTCTCTTTTTGTAAATTGACATATTAACAATCGTTAACAATGAACCAAAGTGATTTATATAATTTCAATATGTGTGTATTTTCTTGATATGGTAGAAAAGACAAATCTAGGGTAAATATGGTAAGATGATATTGGGGAGTTAAGCGAAATAGTGAATTTAATTAATGCTTTGTGAATAATGTTATATGAATTACCTAATGTTGTGCAGACTTGATGTTATAACTTTTCAGTGCTCCCAGTCATGGACACGAGTTTCCAGTCAAACTCCTACAGGTATATCCTGAAACAAGGAAAGAAAATATTTATACAGTAGAACTTATTTCTAAGAATAAATTATTGTTTTATTTAAGCAATATTAGCTATTTATAATATTTAAGGCACGTTCCGTCTAAACGATTTGGTCTAGTATGTAAGGTACGGGAAAAAAATATATTTTATTATCCCGATATTTACAATTTTCTTCTCCAAATATTTAAAAATAATATCGTTCAATATTCACGTCATTTTAAACCAATGTCGAATTACCGTATATAGCACTAGTAATGTAAAACCGAATTAAAAGGAAGAAAATCTAAATTGGAAACTTATAAAAAAAAGAATTAATACAAAACTGAATTAAAAAGAAAACAATATGAGATAAAATTGCGTCCTGTCGGGAAAGTCAAACGGCGCCCGCATCAGATCTCGACGATAAAACTTCGCCGGGAAACATTTCGAATTCCAAAACAAAGCGCGCAGAAAAGTCGACTCGCAGATGGCGCAGGTGTCCCCGGCGACTCGCACGTTCTCTAATCAAGCGGAAATGTGTGCTTGGACGACCGGACCGGACCGGATCGGCCGACCGGCTGACCCAACGCTAGCTACACCTGAACACGACGTATTTGAATTCACTTCGGTCAATAACGACCGGAAATTTGGATTTTTGTTGCGACCTATCTTTGTTTATTCGAGACTGATTCACACCACAAACGATTTTCATGTTAAAGCAACTCGCTTTTAAACAGTTGTTATTGTAGATAACAAAACGTAACAAAAAGCGTGAACGGGCATTCCTACAATCAATTAAACAATGCACGCTAGGGTTGCATCATGAGCTGAAATTAATGTGAGGCAGACAAAGCTGGAGCCACTCTGCTTATCTGTGAGAAAGCGCTGCGCCGTCGACGTCCGGACGGACGGCGCAAAACAACTGATGTACGGATAACAGGGCGAGCATTCTTTTGTTTTCATTACGTATAACCGTGCCTCGTTACCGCAAAGATCTTCGTAAACCTTTTGACGTTTCGCTAAAAGGTTCATTTCGGCTGATTAATGTTGTAATTCCTTCGGTTGCCTACAAAAAAAGACACTCGAAACATTTATACGGTGACGGCTCATGAGCGAAAGAAAAATGATGGAAATTTATCTGGGCCGTGTATCGTAGGGCGGCCAGTCTCTATTTTAATGCGAGCTTTAGGTTGCCTATTCTTCAGACGTTAACGATGAAGAAGAATAGAAAAACAAGATAATGGGACTAACCCTTATAATTTAGGTGCAACCAAGAACTCTAACGAAACAATTTAACGTCTTTATATCTAGACCGTGCACCGTAGATTAGTATCGTTTAATATTCTATATGACTTCCGTCACATACACTATATAGCCTTGTAAAGTCGAGGTAGGTCCCTAGTTTTTAATAAATGATACCTTTGCACTAAAACCCGTTTCCACATATTAAACGTTTCAATTCCAGATACCGACCACCCTCATGGCGAGCGATTAATTGCATTAGTATAGACCTATACAGCTGCCCAATCGATCGTTAGATAAGCAGTTGGGTTAGGGGACCAGTCAGGGTTTTATGTCTTTATTACACCGTAACAATGATATAAATCACAATGCAGGAGGGTACCATGACAGACCATGTTTTTTTTCATAAAATATTTATTGTATGAAAAATATGTATATTCAGAGTACAGATCATTTATACAAAGCTTTACAGCCTAAACCAATTCATATAAGTGTAATAATTGTATATATTTTTAAATTAATACTCAACCCTAAGTGAGGAATGTACCAGGCAGAAAATAAATATAAAGAAATTTAGTATGAAACTTTGAAAGTCAATGATAATGGCAGACTAGTAGCAACCAAAATATAACTTCTTAATATCTTCAAGGTGTAAATTAGAAGATTTTTTAAAATATCGGTTATTCCCACGGTTTTTTTTAAATCTATCTCACAGTCGTTTTATCTTATGAGTAATACTATACGTAAAATAGAAATAAAATAGAATAAACCCAATAATAAATATAAAAATACCTGATTCATATTAGTGAAAATTGATATATATTAAAACATAATAAGGTAATGCAATGTAAAAAGTATACAACTATCTATTTTTGTTATGGTTAATAGTTAGTATTCGTACTGTACGGCTGCTCAGAAAACTAGACGTAAACAGAAACACCTGCCGTAAAGGCGCGAGTCGAGCACAACTAACAATCTATCTCATTAGTACAGGTATTCTAAAACCGGTTTGATAAAATATTATCACAGATTAATTCAAATTTAACTTCTACAATATTTTCGCCCGTTAACGAGGTAACTCTCGTGCCTAACAAGTTACGTAATACTGACTTTGAACTAGCTCCATCCTCAGGTCCCTTAATTTTCTTTGAAAACTCTCGAAATTTTCATCGCTTTTAAGATTCGTAAGTTTGTAATGCTTTGCAGTGAGAAACTATGTTAGTAAAACGAACAGCACTGTAAAATGTTAAGTATTTACTGCCCAAGAATGTTTTAAAGAGATATGTATATTTTTGTAAATGAAATAAATAAGCTCCTAGGTATGTCGTACTACGCTATCTAAACAGAGTGCTATATGTAAACTATTTGCCACAGATTTAATACAATTAGCTTTGACTTACTTGAACACAATTATAAATGTGTACTATAAACCAGTAGTATAAATAAGCATTAACCAATACCAATTGTAAGTTACCTATATAGCGAAATCGTTAAAATAGCGAAATGTTCAACCATTTTACAGTCTACAAGAACTTTAGTGTCCAACTAAAGTATTAGGAGCAAGCAACCTCTTTATAGCGTTGTATTTTTATAGATTTATCTCATGGTATTAAGTGTTTTGTCGTACGTGGGCTAGCGTTAAAGTTGGCGTGGGATGTTTATTTATATACATGGATTAAAGACATTTTTATGCTTAGACCTGTGTCCAGTATTCCATTGAACAGGTTGTTCATTGATTGTATCGCCACGATACGCCGTTTATTGCTAGTTTCATTCTTTATTTTTACAGCACTAAAAATAAAATAGAATGATATAAAATATGTCGATACGTCATAACAAAAGTGATTTTATGAATAAAAACTAGCAGATACCGTGTTTCATTGCTGTGTAAGTTTATATAAATAGATTGGAATAAAATAAACACTAAACTTTACGCGAATCTTACAAATATGCTAGTGAAAATTGCTCCCTAATTGGTAAAGCCATCTCTAAGATTTCGCGTACATAGGTATAGACAATGAGATAAAAAATTACAATTCTTTGTCTACTTTTTGGTTCTATTACGTTCATAAAGTCTCTCAATAGTAGCTTTACTAATATATATTTTATGTACAGCAGCGATGAGTTACATTGATATTGCATGTGTATGTTATCATAATATATTTAAATAACAAAAAAAGCGGAGTAAATTGAAATACAAAATGGCAGAATCTTGACAGAGATTATTAATTTAAAAAGAAAAAAGACAACGGCATCTGATTAAAATTAAAAAGTACTTTATAACATACGTCAAAACACGACTTTATTCTGAGAATAAAAAACAAGTTCAGTTTCGAGTTCCGAGAATGATCGCCTCGTTCCATCTTCAGAATTACGCTGTGTAATTGTCTGTATTTATGTAAGCATCTATTAAACGTTCAGGTTTTTAAGCTGTACCTATATTTATAAATGAACTTCATACTGAGACAGATGTAGCAATTTGATTGTATAACTTTAAAACAGGTGCAAGACATCCACTATTAACAGAACAATTGAACTATAGTTCAAGTAAATTATTTACTACGAATCTAGAATTATAATAATAAGTATCAATTCAAAGATCCTTAAGTATAGGTAAGTTATAAAAAAATTAATAACACGTAAAGTAGGTAACACTAATAAAATAACATTACTTTAAACTCGTATATACATCACGACTTTAAAGTAATGTTTTGTAATTTTCTACACAGCATGAATGTACTTATGTGATATGAATACTATGGAATTAACCACAGTAATAAATTGACAGGGAACTAATTATAAAATTCTTCATAATTGATAGAAATAGATTATAGGAGTAAATATAAGATCACAGTCCTTATAAGTGTAAGGTGTTAAATTGTTTAAAAATATAAAAAAATCAATTGTTTCGTGTTTGTTCGTTTCTGAATGTCTTTGTGTTCCTAGTAAATTCTTATTAATCGCTATTCTTATCAAAATAAAATCGCATAAAAATCCTCAGACGTAGTTAACAGAGAACGAAAATTATAAAGCAAACTCTTTATTCCCAGCTTTGTGCTACATGCTTAGTTAGATAAACACAATCCCAACTGCCAACTTCCAACCGCTATTATTATAAAATAGTTCATTGACACGCAAATAGTGCCCACTTTATTCATTTACAAAAATAATCTTAATTCATGTAGTTTCAGCAATAGTTTCCACGTTATTAATGTTACACATAAACTTGCAAAAGACTGACGCGTGGCATCCGATGAAGTGTAATAATAGTACAATAATGTAGACAAGTATGATACGGGGCGACCCCACCTCCCTGCAATGTGTTATACACGCGATCGTGGTGATGTACTGTCATATGGACAAGTTGTGACAAGTTATCGTTTGTTGTTCTTTTATTAAAACATCATTCAAGTTATAACAACAAGAAGTGTAATTGAAAGAAAATAGTATGAAACGGAAGCTTTTATTCGCATATTGTAATGATCAATTGTAATTTCTTTTCCTTTACGACAACTTATTTGACAAGGGTAAAATGAGACATAAACATTATTAAATTTATTTTTAGAGTTTTTGATGTAATATAAAATGACGACACTTTTGTGTTTTTGTTTCTAACATTGGGTTTCATCATACATTTCTTTCATTCTTCTATGTTTTATATTTATCATTCATAGTTTGTACGAACAGACAATACTTGAATATGTATACTGGTAGATAGATAGAGTGACATTAATTCAAATTAAAAGATTAGTCTTTATAATACCAAGTAAC